AAATTTTATGCAAATCTCTATCCTCTTTTGCCCTCCTGTAATTACAACTCTTATCAAGCAGTGACTAGAGCTGGTGTCAGTTCCCTTTTGCTTAGTACAAGTTCAGGACCTGGAGGAGGAGAAGGAGGAGGAGGTGGGGTCCACAGAAGGCTCACTGAAGAACTTTATAGGCCAAATGGATAACAGAGTTAGCTCTGTAGGCCAGCATTATTTCCTCCTCTCTATTAGTACTATTTTATGTCAAGAATATGTTTGTGAGCTGCAGCTGCTTCTGCTGCTGTGGACAGTGATGTTCCACCCATTACCTGGGACATTTTTCCAATGTTTTTCTATTTTTCCCCTTCATCTTTCCACCTCCCTAGGGAAATATCACTCATTGGCCCATTTACGGAAAGCTTTAGGAAGTTCACCTTCTGTAACACTGGGTTTCGTTTAATTTAAGGTCCATCCACTGTAGTGCTCAGTTCAACTAATAGTCAACCATTTGCCTTTGGAAATCTCACCAGCATCTTGTGAGGACAAGTGTCCCCTTCCATCTCTTGTTTTCTAGGAAATAATATAAAGGGGCTGATTCCTCTTATATTGGACGTGATAGATAACCATCCGGACTAATAGCTGCTCAAGGCTCTAATGTGCGTAATTTAATCCAGTTCTCTTTGAAGCCACCCAGTCTGGCAGCCATCATTGTGTCTTGTGGAAGAAAATCCCAGACTTTACACTATTCACTGCTTTTACTCTTCACTGCTTTACTGGGAGCCTGGTAGCGTAGCGCTTAAGCTGAAGTACTGCAGCAAGATTTTACTCAACCTCTTTGATCCCAACGGATTCACGTAGCATGCTCAGGTTTGACTCAGCCATCCATCCTTCAGGGGGGAGGTAAAATGAGTACCCAGCTTGCTTGGGGGGGGAGCTAAAGTGTTGCTTGCATATTTATACTGTAAACTGTCCAGGTAACAGTAGTGTTTTGAATGCTGTGGAGCAGTATATAAGCAGCACACTTTGCTTTTTGCTTTTGCTTAAGAATAAAGCACACTAGAGATTTATTCTGCCTTGGTAGTATTTAGTCTCCATGTTTATAGCCTGGTTTCTTATTTTTGGAAATATTATTTGGGGTTGCATAAATATACATGCAAAACATTGAACAATAGCTAAAGCATAGTAGAGAAGTACTATTGGTACTTGAATCATAGGCTCCTACCAATGTTTTTTTTTTTAAAGAACTCACAGAAACGATGTTCACTCCACTTTCCCACCAGAGTTCCAGGTAGCTAACAAATGTTGAAAACCAAGTTTAAAAAAAAATAAGAATAAAACCCAAACAAACTATGAGCTGCAGCATTAAACTTGATGAACCTCTGACTTCTTTGTCAGAAGATAAGTTGCAAGTATGTCTTCCTGTATATTACTAAGAACTGCTCCTGGTCCTTAATTCTTTCTGTTGTTGTTGTTTTTTATTGTACTTATTTATTTATTGGACTTATATACCGCCCCATAGTGCTACAAGCACTCTCCGGGCGGTTTACAATTTTTAATTATACAGGCTACCCATTGCCCCCCCCCCCCAGCAAGCTGGGTACTCATTTTACCGACCTCGGAAGAATGGAAGCCTGAGTCAACCTTGAACCGGCTACCTGGGATTTGAACCCCAGGTCGTGAGCACAGTTTTAGCTTGCAGTACAGCGTTTTAACCACTGCGCCATGAGGCTCTTGATGTGTTTCTTCTGTCACTTGGTTGTTGTTGTGTCAAGTTGGAACTGACTTAGAGCGATCTTAGTAGGGCTTTCAAGGTAAGGGAGATGTTTAAGGAGTGCTTTTCCCAGTTAACAAGGTTCTCTCCGAGGCGTGCAACTCTGCCTCCCTCCACACAGCTCTCCTCCTCCTCTGCACTGTGATCATCAATCATTTTCAGTCCCTTTGGTTCCAGTTGTGATGGAACCCCCTGTGAGAAAGGCACAGCTCTGCCTAGCAGGGCTGAAAATTAGAGGGTGTATTGCCAGTTGCACACACATACACATGAGCTTCCTTGGCCGAGTGGGGATTTGAACCCAGGCCTCCTGAATTCCAGTCTGTCACTGTATCTCAGTGTTTCTCAACCTGGGGTTCCTGACATCTGGGAGGGGGTTACAAAATATTTTATGGGGGGGGCTTGCAGGTCAAGGTGTTGTAGCCCTTGTTAAATATGTTCTTCCTTGATCTGTCAGAGCCAGATATTAAAGTTAGCATGTATGAGTATGTGTGAGAAACAGGAGAAAGAAGCCTCTACTTTCTGAGAAGGGATAATTGTACCTTTATATGCAAATGTGGCAGAGGGGCTGTGGGTTACTTGGCTATTGTAAAAGGGGTCACAACTTGAAAAAGGTTGGGACCCCTGTTCTGTCCACTATAGCACACTGGATAGCCCACTTCAGTAACTAGGGAACATTTCAATCCCATTTCTTACCATTTCTTCTCAATGTGTTTATTTGTTTTAGGCTTTGAAACAGCAAAGTCTCTTGCACTCCATGGTGCACATATCATCCTTGCCTGCAGAAACATGGTGAGAGCTAATGAGGCTGTGCAGCGCATCTTGGAAGAATGGGTAAGGGAATGTGCTGCTTTACTGCATTTAATCTTGATAATGGCCAAAATCCTGTTGTGTAGCTATGCCTGAGTAATTTGAAGTTGTGGAAGCCATTGCGAAATTTGCTCTGAGGTGGTCTGGTCCAGGACACAATTTTGCATGGTTAGTGTACAGTCAGTTTTGCAGTTCATTGCACAACAAATTGTGCCTTCATATGTGTGTATTGCCTGGGCTCAACTCTATGTGAACTCATGCGAGCATAACTTTGCAAAGTCCAAGATTTCAGCTTCTTGCATTGGTAGATGGTTGAACTCATTCCTTTCAACTCTACAATTCTATATTCTATTTGGAAATAAGATGGTTGCTCACTAGATTTTTTAAAATTGTGTCATAGGACAGATTTGCAAAAAAAGTGGAAAGGTATTTTGGTCAATACAGCCGTGGTGCTTAATTTGATCCTGGTTGACTTTCTAAATCAGCCATGTTCAACGGGGGCCCCAGAGGGCCCTGGCACATTTGGAGGAAGCCACAGACTTGGAAACAATTCTTCACACACCGTATTAGAAAGTTCATTATGTGACTTATACAGTCTTGATTCTGCCTATGTTTCTGTCACAATGTGTTTATGGCCATGGCCAACATAAGGGTGAGAATTTTGGCTATTCTAAGTGTACAATAGTAGCAGTCTTAACTACAGGCAGTGAACTAGGAAAACTGGGAGACGTCCATTAGGCCTGTGTTTTACCTTGTGGAGAAATTGACTGGAAAAGCAATTATGCTGTCTTCAGCTATAGCCTCTTTCATTATTATTTGAATATTTTGGACTGCGGTAGTTGATGTCTTCAGCTTTGCTAGCTATTGAAGTGAATGGCACTTTACAAAATGGGAAGACAGAGCCCTATTCATAGAAGTTATAAAATCCAGATTTTTCACAGGTGCATGAAAAAGAACTTGCTACAGAGTGCAAACAGGAAGAACCCGTAATAGTTATCAGTGCTATTCTGTGCAGGAGCGGATGTTGGAACAAAATAAAATAAAACGATAAATAAAAGACAGATGCCAAATTTGGAATACTAGAAGAAAAACTTTTTTTTTGAGACTCCTCATGACTTTAGTTTTAGTGAAAAAGGCAACACAGGTGTTGGTGTTGCTTTATAATGTGTTTCTAATTGTGTGGATTTAATATATCTTATCAGTAACTCTTGAACACTTACTGTACTGTTTTCAATCGGACTGTCGAAATGCTGTTTTCAAAAGTTCCATGCACCAGACTAAAGTGCTTGCGTGCATATTTTTGTTCAGTTCATTTGAGAGCCGGAACATGGCATAACTACCAAGGAAATCTTGGGTTATCAGGATTTTTCAGTCACATGGAACTCTTCTCAATGGATGCCCTTGACTGCGAATGCAGCTCTTTTCCAGATCTGCCTTGCAAACAGGAGTAGATAAGGAGTGAAAACAGCGTAGCTGTAATGCACCTCACAGTCTCTCTATTCATATAGGGAAGCATGTTTTGCATGTTCCACGTGAAGCATGAAAAGAGATGGGCCTGAATAGGGCCAAAATGTGGGACATGCAAAAGTTGAATTGGGCCTTTTTTGAAGTCTAAATTGGGTTTTAAGATGCTCAGGTAGCAAATGGCTGTGAATGTTGACTTTTGGGGAATCAGCTCAATAAAGAACAGCTCACATTGTCTTTCTTTCAAATTACTTCACAGGCCTTTATTATATTATTAATCACTCCCCGTTTCTAACTGTTCACAGTACAATCTCATCTGTAAAGTACGTAGCGAGAGTACCTTCAATACATCTTTGTAATTTCTTTGTTGCTTATTGAGAGGGCCTAATTAACTTTGATTATTACACTAATATTGTGGCACGTTGACGGTCCCTCGGATTTATGATTCTACAAAAATAAACAAATGAAATGCAGGTGCTGAGGCAGAAAGAATAAGTTATTACTGAACTTTAATCATTTGAGTTGTGTAACTAGAAGAGAATTAGTTGGTAAATTACAGGATGTTTAAAATGTATATCGAAATTGTACACAAACTTAGGAAGATTAGAGCTTACTTCAAATAAAGGGAGGAAAAATAAAGCACATTTGGTCTAAACATATTTAGTTAATTTTAATAGATTGGTAGTACTTTCAAGCTCCTGAAGTCTACTATCATATAGTTATGTCTGTTTTTATCAATGATGTGGAGGCCATTTACTTAATGGTCTGCCTGTCAAAAATCTCTCCCTTAATATCTTTGCTCACCATCTGTGATCTCCTTGCACACCATTCCTCTTAGCATCAATGGTCCTGCTCAACTGTTGTAAACTCAATCCTACAGCTTCCTTTATGGAGTCAATTCATTTCATACAGTGGTACCTTGACTTACGCATGTCTCTACTTACAAACATTTCGAGTTACGAACAGCTCCGTTCGCAAAATTTTGCTTAGACTTGCGAGCAGCAGCATGCTTTTGGTTATATATAATATTCAATACATAAATAAATAAATATTTCAATAAATGAATAAATATTCAATAAATACAGTTGAACCTCAACTTATGAACCTCCCTACTTACGAACAATTCAAGTTACAAATGGCTCCGTTCGCAAAAAGTTGCTTTGACTTGCGAATGGAGCCTCGACGTACGGGAGCTTCGACTTATGAACAAAAAAACCTTTCCTGCCCTTTTTTTTTTTTTTACTTAAGTTCATCTTAGGTCAAAAGAAGAAAAAATAAAAAAATTCTCCTCCTAGTGGTAGAGGATGGATTAACCAGCTTTGCATTAGTTCCTATGGGAACAAATGCCTCTACCTACGAACATCTATGAATGAAAAACAGTCTGAATGGATTAAATGGTTTTCAATGCATTCCTATGGGAAATTTTGCCTCGACTTATGAACATTTCGACGTACAAACACCATTCCAATATGGATTAAGTTCATAAGTCGAGGTACCACTGTATTTGGTCTTTTTCTGCAGTTGAAGCACTCAACGTATGTATCTACAAAGGCAGGTTTAAGTTTTTTACCCAACATAAATTTAGCTTTTTTAAGAACAGCTCTTTGCACGTTGTCAACATATTCAGGGAAGTATCCTGCCCAAACCTAAGATCTGTTAGTTAGGTGGTAACCACCTGTCTAGTAAGTTTCAAATCCTACTTGATGGGCTTGTTGTGAGGTTAAAAAAAGACGGGAGCACAGTGAGCTCCTTTGAGGCTATGAAGAGGGTGGGTGGGAATAAAAATATATGCTGACATACTGTGATTTAAACAATGAAAACTTGTTTCTTTTTTGCTTTCATATGATCTTCAGGCTGTCGCTGTACCTTGGAGGATGATACCACTTTAGAACTGTGTAAACATTTCTTGGATTGGTGGAGTGGGGATGGGAAAAGGAATTTGGGATTGTGGTGCCAATTCATTTTAATCAGAAAGAAAGTGTCAAATATAAATCTTTCCTTGAGTAGTGGAAAAGGCCCTAAAGCAGCTTGGGGGGGGGGAACCCACATATCAATACTTTGCAAGGGAGGAATGATTGTTCCAATTCACAGCTTTAATTGACTTTAAGGTTTAATGAAAAACACTGTGTACAGTTTGTAAACACATTTGCTCAGGAGAATGCTGAAATCCTATGCCATGAGCTGGCGAACTCAGGGACAGATGTTATATTATTGACATCATTGAATGAAAGAGTAATGACTGAGTTAAGGTTTCACAACTCCTGACTTTAGCCATCTCTTTATGAAATATTTCAGAAAGCCTATGCAGATAAACCTGGGCACAAAGAACTGGGAGCAGCAGAAATATGACTGCTGGTTTTTCTTTGCAACCACTTAAGAATAAACACATTTCTATACTCGGAAATATCTCTAACCGATTTCTGTTTGTGCAAATAGATGCACAAGTAGAGCATCATATATGAATTTAGTCGCACTTTTCTTTTATACAGTGCAGTGGTGCAACAGTGACTTTGAATCCAAAACAAGGTATTTAATTTGCAAGTCTCTGAGCTGATTCATTTGTAATTTTTCTTTTTGAAAAAATATGATCATTAATTAATTAATTAATTCATTCATATGCCACCTTTCCTTCCAGAAAGAAGATGCCGAAGGCATCTTACAACAGTTAAAACTGTACAATAACAACAGATATAAAATACACAATTAAGCATTGATCAAGATTAAAACCAAGATTAAAAACATTTTAAAATATTTAAATTACATAAATACAGAGTTCCCTAGACAAACTTTTGACCATAAGGGCCACATAGTATATTTTCCAGATTTTCAAGGGCGCGTAAACACACATGCATGCACACCTTCCTGGACGCCAACACTTCTGCGTGCACGCATGCCTGCCTGCCTGCCTGCAGAAACACACTCCCGCCTGCCCATGGACACACAGGGGCCAGATAAAAAGGCAACGTGGGCTGGATGTGGCCCATGGGCCATACTTTGGAGACCCCTGACCTAGACCCTCACTTATTGGATTAAAGCCTGCCTGAAAACGAAGGTCTTTGCTTGATCACAGAGGGACAAGAGGGAAGGGGACAACCTGGCTTCTCAGAGCAGTGCATTCCAAACCCTCTCTTGTGTCCTCACCAAACAAGATTGGGAATGTAGTGAAACCAAGAGAAGGGCCTCCCTAGAAGATATTTAAAGCCAAGTAGGCACATGTGGGCTGATATAATCCTTCAGATAGCCTAGACCCAAACCATTTTATAGATATTTCCTGGTTCTTCTTAAGTATCATCCACCCCATTGATGGTAAGATTGCCACAATCTTATTCTTATATATAATTGCCTTGGCTTCCAATTTTATCTACCGTATTTTTTGCACCATAAGACGCACTTTTTCCCCACAAAACAGGGGGGTGGAAAGTCTGTGCGTCTTATGGAGCGAAGAAAACAGATTATATTTTCCTGTTTTCTTCTCCTAAAAAATTGGTGCGTCTTATGGAAAGGTGCATTTTATGGAGCGAAAAATACGGTAATTTTGCTAAAGGAAGAATTCAGTACAG